GGCATTCGGATCTGCACTCGCATAGATGGCCCACTTTTTCCACTCGAAATGAGGAGATAAAGAGGCTACAGACGCGTGACAATTGCAACCTCCATTATTTTCACGCTGCAAGACAACGGCTTACACGCGCAATTACGTGCCTGCATTTCGTTGCCTGTAGCGTCGTAGGACGATTTCCTATGGTGGTCCATGAGAACTTTGGCTTGCCGACTCTGCGAGTATAAGAATTGCTCTGCTTTCCCTAGATACCTTTTTGAAAGCAATATCTCAGTGGCAGTCACCTTCAAAGGGTTTTTGAAGACTGTTTCATAATTTTTGCTTCCGTTTTTTTTCTTCTCGGTTTTAGATGACATTCAGTACTAGAGAACGCGAAGAACGTCCCATGAGCTAGGGTTTCCACAGAAGCCGCAGGGTGTCGTGTTCAATGAGGCTGTGTGACTGTTATGGGGAGGGGGGGGTTTCGTCTCAAGTGTTCTCAATGTACCTTTTGAGTCTTCCCTAAAAGGGAGTCACTTATCGGCCTGTCCCCACAAGCGTCTCAACAGTACTGGAGGTAAGGCCACAACCTAGTACATCATCCGACAAAGACGACTTGGTTGCGCTTACCATCGCCCCTTTACTGTGAGACCGACCACCCAGGCTGCACCTACGCTTAATGTAAGCCTTCCCTATATGAATGACGATGTTGCCTTTAACAGTTGAGGCAGTTGAATAGTTTTAGTTGAGGCACCAGAGAGAGCAAGTCTCGGCTAATGTGTAACAGCTCCTTTGAAAGTACAATGCTAAGACCTGGACTGAACCACAGCCCAATGTCAATTTCAAAACTTAGAAACTAAATGAATCGTAGAGACACATTACCTTCATGAGAGGGTAGCAATGGCGTTTTCGGTGGTGATGGAAGTGGAGTACGAGATGAGAGCAGATGTGCGAGAAAACGATCGAATTCCATGAATGATAAGCTGTCATGTAGCGTTTCCAGTGAGCGTAGAGGTGGCCAAAAACGTCTAATCTCTGAAATTAGCCTCATAGGCCACACCATACAGAAGGGAGTCATATTGCTTTTCACATCCAATGTCACAGACATTGCCAGTACTTACCTCCTACCGAAATATCATCTTCTGCTTTGTAAGTCTGCAAACGAGGGGCACTAGACGATCTCGCAATGACGGCTGTGGACATAACGGCCGGATTTGGAATATCTGCAAAAGCTCAGGAATTAGCAACCCTTAGAAATTACTTACAGGTACGGAAGAGAAATATTTGTTGTTAAGGAGACAGAAGCACACAGAGTACATCATTGTTGGGACAACCCCGTCAAGGAGATCGACATCGCTAGGGACAGGGGGTTTTATTAGGTCGACAGGTTCGCACATGAACCTGATTGGAACTTCGATCTTCGATAACACTTTACTGATTGTAAGTTTTTCCGATTGCTAGAAGGGCACATCTGTTTGGTTAGGGATTTTGGTCGAGCTTGTAAGACCCTCCCATTTTTAAGGGGTTGGCACGACCCCACCTCACCCTCCTCTGATCGAGCTGTCGGGGGGAGGGGGAGTTATATAGTACAGACGAAACAGAGAAAAAAAAACTACGAAAAGTCAGCAACCTCTCCCAGAAGGCTAGAAGGGGAACGACGCCCCATTCCTTCCCAACAACGAGAAAATACAACCCACACCCTTACAAAGAACTATCAAAAAAATTTCCTCACCTCACATACGACCCACGACCCCCTGCTGGGGAATCCACAACAGCGATGTGCCCAGTTGCTAGTAACCTTTTACCATGCGCTATATCCCCCTCCCTGCCCCTTTCCCGCCGCTCGACGCTACTTTCCCAGGACGAATTTTGGAAAATTGGAGAAGTGGTGGAGAGTTGGGGAAACTTGGAATGGTGTAGGTAGGGTCGGGATGGGGGGGGGGGGCATTTTGCACTTTCGCTGCTTCCTAGTCCGCTGGTTTACGAAGCTCACTCTGGTGAAATCTGTGAATTCTTGTGAAGCTGGAGCAAGCTCATCAAGCCATCGCGGTAAAACCTGTCAACTCGAGAAGAGGCTGTCCAGATGGGTCGACACGTCGATGGGAAGTCGTCAAAGTGGCAAAATGACTCCCTCCTCTCTCGTCGGTAAACAGCGCCGGGACATATGATTTGAGTAAAAACTGCAGTAATAAATATTTCGTACATGTCTGCCGACGATTCTTGTCCGAGTGTTCTCCACCGCATTTGCCCATTAGAACATTGGTGCTGATTAGACGATTCTGGACTTCGGAACCTCCTGCAGAATTCGAAACTGTTAGATGACAGAATCGACCCTTTACAGATGGTAACTAATGCTCAATCAGGAATTATAACAGTTCAACGACAGAAAATGAGGGAGAAGATGAGCAGGGAAAGAGAAAAGAGAATAAATGAAAGAGAAAGCAATATGGTTGGGAGAAGTTGGTCAAACACTTCTCATGCAGCAAAACTATCTTTCTACATCACAAAACTCCAACTCTATTCAAGTATCTATGTGAATAATTATGGAACTAATCATAATCACAGTAGAAATCTAACCTGTTAGTAGATTCACTGTATGATGTTTGAATCTATACGGGAATCGTGAGCGACGCGCTAGAACAGAACACAATTAGCTGAACAGTTATGTTGACAACACAGCGATAAAATCGAATTCAAGTTAATCGATAATCGATTACACCAAGCACAAACACCTCTCTAAGCTCTAAGCAAGTAACAGACAACAAATATAACAATTCGACCGCATAATGTAGATTATTGGTGGTCCATTCTCACACCACTGAGTCGCACGTTACGCCCACTGAATGGGCGTGTCTCCCCGCATTTTTTTGTATGGCAGTAGTTTCCCACAGATGTTCGTTGTACTAGTATGCACACATAGACACAAAGCTCTTTCGGAGTTTTTGACACCGCCTACGATAGAATTACTGCGAATCAATCGATAATCGATTGCCAGCTAGGTGATTAGTGATTAGCAGAGGATTGATATGATGATTACGTCAAAAAAGATCGTCACACGACAACTCGTCCACATACATTTTTCGTCGGCCACAATGCTATGATCCTTGTTTGGCAAAGCTGAAAAAAACTCATGCGTTACATTGGTGAACTGGACATCAACGACTTAATGAAGAGGAGTGCAAGTGCCAGGATAAAAAAGTAAAAAGCATCAAATGAATAAAAACTGGAAGGAGGCGGTGCTGATCGGTAGCGCGAGTTGATTTCCCTGCTGGGGAGAGCCAAGGGAAGAAACTTCCTTTACACTGAATTCGGCTACAAACAGTACACTCGATATCGTTGCAATTAGTAGGGGCGGTTTCATTAGGGAGAAATCAGCACATCCGCTTTACCACTAGTGATTGTGTTGTGCTGTTCCTAAACTGATGTTCCTACTAGCACTGGAAGAGCAGGGCAGTGGGAGTCGGACTCATTCCACCCCTCCTGATACCGCCCCAACTGACTACGACATTATCAACTATATCTGCTCGTCACGAATGTTGCTGACTTCTTAACAGTACTTGGAAGCAAGGCAAATCCCAGAACACTCTCAACATTTCGAAGCAGCTGAAGGCGTCTTGAGTGCGTGCGCAGCCCTCTGAATGTCTTTTGTGATTCTGAATAGGATACTGGAATCGCTTCAAAGACACATTCCCGTTTACACAAGTTTTGAGTCTTAAACATAACTTCGCAGACGCTGGTTGGCTTCTCAGTGAAAAAATCGTCGAAGATGCCCTGAATAGGGCACCATGATTAGATTAGTATAGGAGATGCTGAAAAATTGCCTACCAGGGGAGCACGGTTCGAATTCGGCAATAGCTGGCCAGCAGTCAAAAGTAACATGCCGTGCGAGTTTGCCGGCGTCAAGGCCTCACTTGATGGAAAACGCCAAGTCGGTATGACGCTTCCTTCGGGAGGGGAGAGTCGTATTTGCATAGGTCAGTACTCAACACAGACGTCACTTGCAGTATGAGTGATGCATTCAAATGAGGACGAGTACATGGCGCATTCCATGGATGTGTTGAAGAGCAGCCCCGTGATGCGATTGCTCACTACATATATGGAAAGGAGCTGTACGAAAAGGTCCTATCGAGCTTTTTAGATGGAAATGTGGGCTTTAGAGGTGGGGATCTCCATACTAGAGCCAAAGCTGACTCTTAGGCAGTCTTCGCGACGGCAGCGCCTCGCATGCGCATCGGTCGCGCGTTCGGCGCGATCGATGCGCATGCATTTAACTATATTGGTCGCGTCGAACGCGCGCTGCCGTCGCGAAGTCTGAACGCTGCCTTACGGCAAAACTCGCAACGGGCGAATTTTCGCCATAGTGAAGCTGCAGCAGAGATGTTGTGCTCGTCGGAGTCCACGTTATGTCTGAACGAAGTTATGATCTTTAAAAGGTGCAAATTTGCGTTCGACAAATTTTTTCGCGTTATTTTCTGGCTAAAAGCTGTCATGTAAGCTCGATAAAAGCTGTAGTGTTTATCGTATAGACCCTGCTCACACAACATCAATAGTTCTTACCGCACTGCGAAAAATGATCTCTGAATGAAGTTATACCCTCTAAAAATACTACGTGAATACAATGGACCGATAGCGCTCCATTCTCAAACGCGACGTAACCGCAGTACGCTCAATGCCTCGGATTCATGCTGTTTCGTTTCCTAAGTGTCATGCAGTGTTTTCGAAGGTTTAATTGTGTGCATTACACTATTTCTTAGGAAACTAATCTCTTCAGTTCTCAGGGAAACCTACACGGTTTTGGATACTAGGAGATCTTCTCTTTCTTCATGCGCAGTACCTTTGCTCTAGCTCTAATTCAGCGAAAGGTCACCCGTCGCGGAAAATGGCAGCAATATAGCGGGAAGTTTTCAGCGAACGCGAGTTTTCTACCTTTTCAAGAACAAAACTTTGTTCACACTTAGTGGAGCAGACAGCTACATGGCTTTGAAAGCAGAAGACCTCTATACAAAAAAATTTGCTGCAGCTCTACTGTAGCAAAAAACTGCCCTCCAATTCTACGCATCAGGTTATCGCGAAATGTGCCTTTGATAGTCAAAAGGTATTTACAACAAATAGCAATATTATTAGATTGCAAAGGATCGCTCTATCGAGTTAGCAACAATGGTG